TATAGACCTAAACGTTGCAACTATTTCATTATGGTCATCATCTCATTGTCATAACATAGGATTTATTTAGTTTCATTTTAGTTATTTTTTCATTGCAATTAAGTATTAATTTAGGCACATATTCGCCAACAAATGTCATTATCTTATTCATTATCATTATTCATTATCTTATTCTAAATTAGTATTTATTTAATTTCATTATAGTTATTTTCTCATTGTAATTAAATACTAATTTAGGCACATATGAGCCAACTAATCTTTCTAAATTAGTATTTATTAAGGAAAATATGCCGCAACAAATGTTTCGTTAAGGTTATCAAATCATTGTGAATTAGTGTTTATTTAGACGCATACAATGCAATAAAATACTAATGATAAATGTATAAAAGCTGAAGAAATAGAAATAGAATAGAAATATTATTATAGGAGGAGCAATAAAATAAATAGATTGTACTAAAATAAATAAATAAATACAGTAAATTAGAGGAAATGAGACCAAGAGAGAGAGAGAGAGAGAGAGAGAGAGAGAGTAATAGAGGGAGAGTTGAAGAAATAGAAATAGAATAAAAACATTATTATAGGAGGAGCAATAAAATAATTAAATAAAAATTGTAGTAAAATAAATAAATAAATACAGTAAATAAGAAGAAATGAGACAGAGAGAGAGAGAGAGAGAGAGCGAGATAGAGAGAGTGATATCGAAATAGAGAGAGAGCGAGATAGAGAGAGTGATATCGAAATAGAGAGAGAGTGAGAGAGAGACAGATAGAAAGAGGAAGAGAGAGCAGGAACTGAGAAAAAAAAAGAAGGCTAAAAAAAAGGCTCATTTAGTCTGTACGTATGCAAGAACTTGCGAAGAAGTTCTGTTTATTTCGTTCCTTTCAAAATCACAGGGGTGGTTGCTAGAGTATTTCGCTTTGAGTTAAGTTCTTACGATACGTACCGACTAACTGAGCATTAACCTAATGTCAAAAAAATTTTGTTTCTGCAAACAATGGGAAAACAATACACAAAAAAATAAATTATTATGATTGTTGAGTATCAATAAACGTAATATAGAAGTGATATTGTATTTGTCCGATACATTATATTATTTCATTAGACCCTCGTACACTGTAATATTTCATTGGGTGTCTTTGCACATTTTAAATGATTTCAAACTGTCATGTGGTTGATATTTAGTGTGTCAGTTTTGCTTCACCAGTCGTAAAATTACCAGTCAAAATTTTTAGCGACAAAAACGGAAAATACTTTCTACATTAACTTTTACTAAACCCATAACATACATAATACATAACACAATATTGAAGCAATGACTTTTTTCAGGATTATGCTAAAGGGTGATACATCAGTAAATTCGTTTTGACAGTGTTTTTGCAGTACATTATCTTTAGATTACATTGTCAATGGGTAATTTATTTCTAAATCACTTCCCTTCGGTGGATAGGCTACTACGATGAAGCTACCTAACGGTGACCGACAGTAATCTAAATAAACCTTGTGACAATAACGGTGTAGAACTTTGTGAAGTGGGAGTATAAAGATTGCGAAAAAGACGTGTTACTGGATACCTCTTCAAATAACTTGTTTTGAATTAAGGCTATGCATATTGGTACAGCGAAATAACTATTGAAGCTAAAATATTAATGCAAGCATTAGGAAATTAAAATAAATAAATTTTTTAAATATTGATTAGAAAAATGTGTACTTGATTGGTACCAGGGAACTACATTACATTTGTAATTGATTAAGAAGCTTATAACTTCGTTCAAGCATATTCGGCGACGACTGAATTTGCTTCAAGTTCAATCTAGTAGTTTTTATTTTATTTGAAATTAAATAAAAAACTGTCTTGGTGAAATAAAAAAAAATATGTCATATAAAAATTTTTTTATATTTGTGTTGATTACATATTTTGGTAATCGAAAAAGTTGTCAAAATTTAGTAATGTCCAAAAGATTTGATTACTCTCAATATGGATCAGTGCAGTCCTGCAATGATATTGGAACCAATACTCTGCCAGACGAAGGTAGGCTTTGCAGTAAATGTGGCAGAGTTGTTTCCAATAACCTACATTATTTTGAAATGGCTGAAAATCCAGCAATAAATCTTGCGACAACAGTACCTATAGTTTCAGATCAAACAAAATATTCAGACGAATTAAAGAATCTCGATATTCATTCACAAGACAAGAAGTTCTTACTTTCAAAGGCAAGTAGCGAACCTGCTAAATACTATGGATCTTCAAGGAGAATTATAAAGAAGAATATATACAGTGACCTAAAAGCATCTCCTTCTCAAAAGCGTGCAGCTATCGAAAGAGAAAGACGCATGAAGGAGCAAATGCAGCAATCTGTGGTTACAGTCACTACAGTCGACACAAAAAAAAATTCAAATGGGGGAAGTGATGTCGCCATTGATTCTGTTCTGCCAGAGATCAATGGAAAATTGCCGCAGGAGCATGAAATGGCAACTCCCATATGTGAAAAGGTAGGTAAAATACAAAAAATAAGATTATTAAATATAACAACAATATCGATGGATAAAACAAAGAAGATCATCTCATTCTAATAAATCTGTTCATCCTTTTCAGCCGCAAATGAAAAAGAAGCTTTGTAGAAAACGTAATAAACGCAACACTAGTGGAGATTTGGAGAAGGGGGAGGAGGATAAGGATATTGATAACAAATCTAATAATTCCTCTATACCTGAAAACCCAAAAAACAAAGTAGAAATACAAGATGGACCTTGCAAAGCAACTGTAACAGCACCTAAGAAGAAGATTGTAAGGAGGAGGAAGAAAAATGTGTGCAATAAATTTCGATACGTTATAGAGACAAGTATCCCCTTACCATATGGAGAATTCACTGTTAGTGTGGATAAGAATTCAATAACTCGATGTGCTGATTCTGAAGATGAATCGAGTGATTGCTCTTGCGATGAATGTCAAAAGAACTGCAAGAGAGGTTTGAATAATAAAATTTTTATTAGAAGATATAAAAATAAAAATGCCTGCAAGCGTGCAAGCAAACAACGCCGATGAAGGTGGATTGTGCATTCCTGTAAACCACTTTACAGGATCAACTCTAAATTTAAAATATTCAGAAAAACTTAAAAATTCATGTAATGATTTAATTATATATATATTTTCATATATATATAAAAAGAGAATATAAGCTAAAAATGAGATAAAAAATATTGAGATATTTGTAAATGTTTAGGGAGTACTTTAGAAATAGATACGTAAAAATTACAAAAAGGCATTTGGTGGCTCAGAACAAGATGTAACTCATGAGAGTTCTGCAAATAAATACAGAACTCTCATGAGTTCTATGGGTGACTTGGCAAAATTCTGACTAAAAGTAGTAGAGTAAAATTCGCAAGAGATATGGTAGCGTAAGACCGTGACTTGTAAAACAAGAATACTATTTGATGAAATAAGTACAATAGGGTATTTACTTGATAGGTACGTCGTACAACAAAGTGCAACCGTATTAGTTATAATCTTAATTGAATTTGGGAATAAGCAAATAGTGTATGTCTCCATATGGGTCTTTCATAGGAGTAAAGTTTCTTAAGTTTCTAACACTTATCTTTATATATATTTTAACGTCTTGATAAGACAGTATTGGTGTTATATTAATCGTTATTTATAATTTTCGATTGCATTCTTGAAAACTTTATATTGACAATATGTCAAATCGAATTGAATTCAAGCAACTCAACAAATCAAATACCTATCACTAGTTAAATTATGAATTCAGTCATCTTATCGAATTTTATACTTCTCATATTCAGCACATTTCATACTAAAAGGTATGAGTAAGTTCATTCTACTACATATTCGTCTTTGGTTCGTGGCTTTGGTTAGAGACATTATGAAGACTTACGAAAATTACTTAAATAATGTTACCAGAGGATAATAGAGAAGAATGAGTTTTATTATCTGAACAATCTAAGTCAAAAAACGAGCGAAGCAATAATTCATCCCTGTAAAGGTGCATATGAAGTTTTTAAGAAAAACTAGTTTCACTTTGGGATGTTGCCAGATTGTTTTGCTGAACAATGCAAGTTTAGTTTACTATATCACTAAAATTTCTACAGTATAATTTCTACAATTATCATATTAACACATAATAATTTCACAGATTGTGTTGTAATATGCTGCTTGAATATTTCTTTGTTGGGCCTTTATGCCCAAATAAAGAGGTCTGAAATAAAACTTACAAAGTAACGGAAAGCTTCATGAATGAATTTGTTTATAAACCAGTGAAATTTTTTTTGCAATAAAGGAAAAACGACTAAGAGTACGTATAGGAATTATGACAGGGTAAAACACGGGTAACACTATGTGGCCACTTTGGGTACCATCACAGATATAACATATCAATCATTTCTTCAGGTTATAGAACACATAAAGCTTTTCGTTTGTTATTGCCAATCATCTGCAAGAATGTGATTGAGTTTGTTGGGCTATAGTACAAGCAATCCTCTTCATTTATTCTTAGATTTATTAAAGAATCCAAGAAATTAGAATTAAAGTAGCCTTTTTTACTCTGAATAATATATTCTATTTTTTGTTGGAACAATATTTCTTCTCATAAGACAAAAATGTATTTAATTAATCGAAAATAAAAACTTTACTGAATAATGAAATTTTATAGAGTTTTTAAAATAGCAGTTTATAAACCATTCCAAATGGCTTTAATAAAACAATTATGGCTTCTTTTGTATGATATATTACTACGTACTCGTAATAATATCATTGTAAGAAGTGACATTTACAAGTTGAAAACTTCTTACAAATGCCAGTAAGTTTATCACAGTAACCACTTAATGAAGATAGCAGAACATATGAGTATATTTAAGTATACAGGGTATTCTCT